CCCCCCTTCCCAGGCTGCAGTTCAACTGATATTAGTTGTAGAAATGGATTCTGTAAGCCCAAGTTCTGGAAATGTGATGGCGTCAATGACTGTGGAGACAACACAGATGAGATGGATTGTAAGGCCTTGTAACATTGATGGAGTGTGTTTCATATCAGCACTGGAAATGCTTAAACATGCCTGTTACTTTTTGTATTAGGTGGGTGTCAATCTGGGCAAATAACGTGTAAGAATGGCAAATGTGTTTCCGAGAAGCTGAAATGTGATGGAAAGGACGACTGTGGGGATGGAACAGATGAACAAGACTGTACAAAAGCCACAGGAGGTACAACAGATAAGCCCAACTTTGCTATACATGTAGATAGATGGTGGGAGAGAGCGAGAGAGAAATGGCTAGAGATGGATTGAATTAGCTTTGGATTGATTTTTCTCCTTTTCTTCTCTCCTCAGGTTTAACTGTAGGCTGCACAGATTTTACATACAAATGTAAAGACAATAAATGCATCAGTAAAGTAAATCCAGAATGCGACGGGACGCCGGACTGTGGTGACGGATCTGATGAGGAGAACTGCGGTATGTCACAAAAAAATCACATTTAAATGAATCCTTCATCCTTCACCTGTGCAGTTTAGGTTGTCTTATCCAAACAGGTGTGGAGCTCCACCCAGTTCACAATAAGCTGCAGCACACCAGCCCTTTGACTGATTTGTTGTTTACTTTGCAGACTGTGGGACACGTGGGAGGACCCAACGTATTGTAGGTGGTCAGAATGCAGAACAAGGGGAGTTTCCTTGGCAGGTCAGCCTCCATGCCAAAACTCTCGGTCACGTCTGTGGCGCATCCCTCATCAGTCCGAAATGGCTGGTCACTGCTGCCCATTGTGTGCAAGATGAAGGCTCTTTAAAGTAACTTCTTACCCTATTCTTTGTCCCTCTTTGACACAGTACACTGCTTTTTGTGAAGAATATGATCTTATATTCTCTCCGTGTAAAATGAGAGCTATTTGTCTCTGTTTATTTTTCATATTTTACATATTTCGAAGATCTTATAATCCAAATGAATGAAAATGAGTACCATTGGAGTATAACAGAGTTTGTCCTCAGAACGTTATTTTTAAGTCTACTTTAGAAAAATCAAAGTTGTTTACAAATTCTGTGTGACTTCAGTTAATTTATCCTTTTTTCAAGACTTTAAATATCTTTACATAGAGTAGAGTATGGTTCGCAGTCAGTATAACAACAACTCTGTCATACACTTTAATAAAACTAAGAAAAGCCTCAGGTGCTGCTTAAATTATTTAAATAATAAAGATAAAATAAGCAAATCATGAATTTAATAGTTTCACTTGAAAGATGTAAATTGAACGTTTTTTTAATTGCAACAAAATCCTTGAATGTGGTGAAAAATAATTCGGCCTTTGCCAGGTCATCAGTGAAAGTTTAATGAAACTTTAACTCAGTATAAACACAGTATTAAAACACAAGTTATCAAAAATAAGGTCCTGATATTTTTTTCTCTAAAATCGCATTTTATTTATTTTATTTTTTTTCAGTCTGTCTAATATTTTGTCTTTAGTGTTAGTTAAATGGCAATTAATTTTATTTTGCAAGCAGTTATCACAGCCACACTCACATCTTATGATATTCAACAAGCGCTGAGAAATCAGACTTAAAGTATATTTTAAAAATGCCATATAATGGGAATTGTATATAGTGCCACATAATATGCTAATTATTATAAGTTCATTAATAATTGAGACCGTGAATAAAATCCTTCATCCGTTTTGTTGCTTACTTCCTCAGACTCTCCCAGCCTGGCTCTTGGGAAATTTACCTTGGCGTTCATACACAGAAAATGTTAGGAAGTCCAGTTCAAAAGAGGAATCTGAAGCAGGTCATACCTCACCCTAACTACAACCAATTCACCTTTGACACTGACATCGCCCTGATGGAGCTGGACAGTCCTGTCACCTACAGTGACTACATAAAACCCATCTGCTTGCCAGCTCCGCAACATGAGTTTCCACCTGGCCAGGATGTGTGGATCACTGGGTGGGGTGCCACACGAGAAGGAGGTGAGTAAATGATTTGTCACTTTAACAAATATTTGTAGCCACCAAAACTAAAAATATAAAAGCCTGAACTTGAGCTCAACATTAAATCAGCATAAAATGAAACAATTTCCCTTGCTTTTCTGTGTTTAAGATGTAGTTTTAGTAATTATTCTTTGGGTTTGTACACACCTTGTAAATCAGCCAATGTAAACTACTATATGTCTTTATATAAACACCACTTGTAATACAAGCATTTTCAACTTTTTAAAGATGCCCAGCGATGTTACTTCCTCTTTGTGTGTGTGTGTGTTTCAGGATCTGCTGCAATAGTGCTCCAAAAGGCTTCAGTCAGAATCATAAACCAAGCTGTGTGCGACGATTTGATGGGGGGCCAGATCACATCTCGGATGTTTTGTGCTGGTGTTCTTACTGGAGGAGTTGATGCTTGTCAGGTACTTTGATATTCTTCTTTTTTTCTTTTTTTTTGTTTTTTGGGGAAAAGCACAAAAAACCCTGCTTGTGCTGCAGACAGTGGGATGATGTAGATGGAGGAATTAATTGATTGAACTAAATCTGTAAATGTCATGAGAGAACATGTACAGTTTTAGGTCGTCTTGGATATATTGATGAATAGTATATGAATAGAATGTGACATGCACTCATACAATGGGGTAAGCAGAGGAATTTCACCTTAGAAAGTAGAATTAATGTGTTTGTTTTGATTTTCTTTTTTGGCCCGCTGCAGAATTTAAGAGGATAATTGGATATTCATAATATCCCCACACCATCCCCATGTATTAGAATAGAATAGAATAGAATAGAATAATCCTTTAATTGTCCCACAAGGGGAAATTTGGTTGTAACAGCAGCCAGAAAGACACACACAAACAAACAAACAGGACACAGGACACAGAACAGAAACATACACAATTTTTCTTACATATTTACATATGGACAATGGTTACTATAAACAGAGAGTACTGTACAGTTATTAAATTAAATAAAATTAACTACATATAAGAGGCAAACCAGGTTGTAGTGCGAATCGGTTGATTAAATTATTGCAGTTACAGCGCAGATGTAAACATCTGTTTGTCGGGAGCAGTTCAGATTGTACAGTCTGACAGCTGCAGGGAGGAAGGACCTGCGGAAACGCTCCTTCATGCATCTAGGATGCAGCAGTCTCTCACTGAAGGAGCTCTGCAGTTCAGCAACATTTACATGCATGGGGTGGGAGACTCTGTCCATCAGAGATGTTATTTTAGCCAGAGTCCTTCTGTCTCCCATCCCACCATTGCCTCTATGCTAACATGTCTACCTGTGTTCCTGTGCATTTTTCTGCTTTAGGGAGATTCTGGGGGTCCTTTGTCCAGTCCTTCCGGCAATCGTATGTTCCTGGCTGGAGTGGTCAGTTGGGGTGATGGCTGTGCTCGCAGAAACAAACCAGGCATCTATACAACAGTTACCAAATTCCGTGGCTGGATCAAAGAAAAGACAGGAGTTTAGTTTGTATTGTCAAATAAGGCCAAAGGCATGGACATAAATGAGGACTGAGGAGGAGTGCCACAGTTTAAAAAAAAAAAAAACCCAAAACACTCTGATTATCCATGAAGTGGCTTTTACTCTCAATTGTAGCTGCAGTGAGGAACATGCTTTAAGAGCAGTTACAACACAATTTAGATGCACTGTGATTTGGGGCTTTATGAAATATTTTTGAATGTAAATAAATGTTTTATTTTTGTGTTTTTTATCATGTTTTAATGGAGAATAATGTTATTTCCTGCACAGTAGATTCCAGTGTGATTGTTACCTATTTCATACATGTAACTCTATATCTTAAGAAATTCCCAACACTGTTTGGATTTTTTTTTGTTTTGTTTTTTTGTATATTTTTCCTCCCTGACTTCTGAATTAAAAGCTCTAAGGCAGCAAGCTCATTGCAGCTTACCTCCTATGGATCAGTTCACAAGTTCAGCTGAAATCTCTGAAAAACCCCCCAACTTATTTCCCTTCTCTAAACACAAAATGGTCAAACACAGGTTTAGTTTAAATTTTCTCTTCTGCTGTAACATGTGACCACGCTTCAATTCACCACAATATAAGTACTAGGTGCAAAGTTAAATTGTTTCCAAATATTTGTAAATGTGTATTTTATTGCAGATATTTTTAAATAAAAATATTTCTTTTCTCCTGCACAGTCATTCACATACTCTTTGTTTCAGGATGCTTATGTATTGCATCGAGCTTGACCCTCAACATACCTGCCCGATTTTTTTTTTTTCTTCTTTTTCTTTTCTTTTTTTTCTCCTCTTGCACAGTTGGTATGGAGCACCCATACTTTTATTGTACATGTACAATGACAATAAAGCTCTATCCCATTCTAATCTTTAAGCGAGAGTTGATGAAAGTTTTCAGTATCATTGGTTAAAACAACTGTATGCAAGTACATGTTGTTTGGTTACATCATCAGTTTACCAAGGTCTGAAGGAGGATCTCAACTGTTGCCCTCAGGAAAGAGAAAAATGTTTAAGATGTTCAGGAACCACCAAGACTAAAGCCTGCCATGAACTGGAAATTTAAAGAACATCAGTGTCACTTTTCACAGTGGAGCGAGTTTTACTTTGCCATGGACTGAGAGGGTTCCAACCAAGAAAGAAGCTCCTGCTCCAAAATTGACACAAGCCAAATGCTTTCAGGAGAAAAGTTTTACAAAGACTGAATTATTAAGCCGCATTGACAAGAGGTGGAGTAAAGGTGAAGCTTTCAAACATAAGAACACCAAATTTTGTAGCATAAGGGTGCCAGAATGATACCAGAAGTTTGTTGATGGGTACCAAAATGATCTGGTTGAGGTGCAACTTGCAAAGGAACATGTTTACAACTAATAGTGGGGGTGTACGTATATATTTGACCCTTTGTGGATTTGCCGAAATCTCAAATAATTGTCCACCCAATTCTTGTCCCCCCCCCCTTTTTTTCCTTTTTTTTTTAGTAATTAAAGATATACTATACGATCATTCTACCTTGGACAAAGGCAAGTTCGAATAAATCATTAACAACATTTTACGCTGTCAAAATGAG